TAACCACTTTTTACGAAAAAAAAGTGAGTGCTATAAGTTTTTTTCTTTTTTCGTAAAAAGAGGTTGTAATTGGCTCTTAAATCTAAATAAATCTTTCACTCGCCAGTAATTTACAATCACGTCATGAGATACGCATCGAAACACGACTGCAATTGGGTAGCGATTTCGACATGTTTTCGGTGTAAAACCCAATATATATATATATATATATATATATATATATATATATATATATATATATATATATACAAGTGATGGTGTTGATTCAACACCATCAATTGAAAAAACCCCAGAAGTGTTGAAGCAAAATGGCTATTTTTGTAGTGATGTTATAACATGTTTATGTTATAATTTTGAATAAATAATTATATTTGCTCTACTCTGTAAGAGTAGAGCAAATATAAGAATAGTGTTTTGGTTATTGAAATTTTATTCCGTCCAAATATATATATATATATATATATATATATATATATATATAAGTCCTTTGTCCAATAATAAGTGTTATATTTATTCTATGGAATTTATCTTGAAATAGTTTTATGTTTGCTAAACAAAAGCAAAATAAAAGATAAACTCAATGATAATGAAGTTTGTTTATTATTTTAAGATTATAGAAAGCATGGTCGTTAGAAAATGGGACAGTCCGTGATGCGAGATACAAACTGGAGAGGTCAAAATCAAGCAGTAGTCAATCATATACAGCATGAATCTTATAAAAGGAATCGATTAATTTCCCTATTACCATTAGTGATATCTTTATGTTTTTACTTCATCAATTTACTTTGTTAATTTATCCATTTTTATTTCTTTCGGCTGTAGGGCCTTCTTCTTTCTTATGAATAAATAAGTTTATCATCTGAGCAGTCATCACCGATGTTGGGTGGCGTTGTCGTGAAGAAGAATGACGTCACGGGTGACGCAGTCTTTGTTCGTTTTTAATTTCCGTTTTTTTTTTCCAATAATTTTTTTTTACCGCTATTCTTTTATATAAATTGGCGGACATTTTATTCTCCTCACTCTCCCTACCCTTTTTTTATCACTTTAAAGAAAACACATCTTGCAAAATCTTCATCACCCACTATCAAATGTTTTAAATCTAACATAGCTAAATCCTCCTCCTATTCCTCCTTCTACTTCATTTTCGCCTCTTCCTCATCCTTTTTCCCTTTCCTATTTCTACTTCCTCCTCGTCTTCCTTCTACTTCACTTTCCACCTCCTACTCTACCTGTTTTTCCTATTACTTCTTTCTTACTTTCTCCTCCAACTCCTATTGTACAACAGTTACAAATTAGTGGTTTTTTTTTTTTTGTCTTTTTAATCTCCCCATTTATTCACCATTTCTTTCTTTCTGTCTGATCCCTTACTTTTCTTCGTCTTTTCTTTTTCTTTTTTTCCCTTTGACTCCTACTCACTAAATCCGGATATTTGTGAAAAAGCAATTACTATTCATTTAAAGATCCCTACTTTTCAAATGGCTTTATCTACATCTTTTTTTTTTCTTTTTTTTTTAAAAAGGTTTTGTTTAATCTATCCCGTTAAGGCGTTATTATAAAATACAGAGCTTTTCATAGTCACAATTATCTCTTTTAGCAACTTCGCCTCCGCAGTATCAGCATTATCTTTGTATATGAGATTTCTAAAATTCACTAACCCCCAGAAGAGCAACTCTTCGCACCTTCTTGGGCTTATGTTTTCCACTGATACCAAATGGGGCTGGTCTTCTAGATCTTCTGCTGGGAATGTTAGTTCATTGTGTCGAGTGACAAACAATTCTTCTCGCCAGAATCCATATTTTTTAAGCATTTCACCCCAAGCAAGGCGGGAATGCCACTAGTGTGCAAGGGGTTACAGAGAATGGGAGCAAGAGTAAAGAGGCGTGGTAGAGGAAAGGATGAAGAGAAGGACGAGGAGTGGACCAAGGCATCTGGAAATGTCGATTGACATTATATTTGCATAATTAAAGATTATAGCTATCAGGAAGCAAGTAAGAGGAAAGGAGTTTCAGAGACGGGAAATGCGAGGCATGAATCTATTGGAGTAGAAGAGACAGCTACATTTAACCGTATCGACAGTGAAAGAGTGGGACCGAGATGCCAACCTAGTAGTACGTTCAAATTCATTCTGTTTGGGAACCAGCGAAAGTAGCTCGTCTGAGCAGTTACAGTGAAAATATTTGTAGAAAAGACAGAGGGAGGCGACTGCACGTCTGTGAGAGAGCGACTGTAAACGAGATGCCAGATCAGGAACAACCACATTGCATATCCGTCTCTGGATTTTTTCGAGGGCCTTAAGATGAACAACGGGGGATCTAGACCATATATGGCAGCAGTATTCCATGCAAGGGCGAATGGTTGATTTATGGATCTGAAGGATGGACGCAGGCTAGAAAAACTTTCTGGCGCGACACAGGGAAACAACTTTCCTTGCGGTAGATGAAGCAATTGATTCAATGTAATTGTTCCATCTCAGGTCAGCGGAGAGTGTGAGACCAAGCAGTCGCAAAGAGGTGCTCTCGTGGAGTTGAGCATCAGACATTCTAATAGGAGATAGTTGAAATTTCTAATTTTAACCGTAGGTTCTGTACTAAAAGTACATTATTTTGCGCCTCTCACCTGTGGAAGACTATTCCAGATTTATTGATATCATGTCAAGAACAATCTTCAAAACTTTAAACGCAACCTCACTCGCCATATTCTTTGTCCTTGTATCCTGATCTTTTTATGGACATTTCTCCTCGATATAGTTTTCTCTTCACTCTCAGAAAACCCCCTTGCTTCTTATTGACTTTATTAGCATGCTTTGCGTGACATGATTAAAACAAACGAAAAGCTATGAGATGCCATCAAACATTCTAATGCAGGGAAGGTTCTCTGTGGTGGGAAATAGGGAGCAGTTTTGTTTTTGAGGCATTGAAGTTAACCTGTCAAATTCCACAGTCAACACTCTTGCACATTTATAAATCTACCATACGCCCGTGTAATATTTTGCTAGCTTGCGGCAACATCACATATATACGTGTTTCCGTACAATCATCGAAGTTAAGCAACGTCGAGTCTGGTCAGTACTTTAATGTTGCTTAAGTTTGGTGATCGGATGTTTCACTTTATAAGTGACGAATATTTCTAATTAAGTGAAATACTATGATGTCGACAGTGTTATTTAGTTACCATTAAAACAGTTGTGGCGTCCTCCCTCTAAAGAGTCTATGTTGGATTTTTCCGCCTACTATAAGATTAGTAGGAGAGAAGGCCTTGGGGAACAGTCGACCAGATTGTTCATCTGTTGAACTCTCTGCCTTCAGCGGAGAGGAACTCGGACGAAGCTTTGCCGCAGGGCAAAGTTTTTTCCGCGGAGGTAGACAGGCCCTGAACCTGTTTATACGGGTTCTAAGGGAATATTTTTGGCCGAGCCTACGGGATCGGAGGACCCACGCTAAACTCGGCCTTGTGCCACATACATCTCTCGTTGCGGGGGGGTCTGTTAAATATTAACAGTCGACCAGATTGTTCATCTGTCGAACTCTCTGCTTTGAGCGGAGAGGAACCCGGACGAGGCTTTGCCGAAGGGCAAAGTTTCGTCCGAGGAGGTAGACAGGCCCTGAACCCGTTTAAGCGCGTTCTAAGGGAATATTTTTGGCCGAGCCTATGGGCTCGGAGAACCCGCATACATCCCTCGTGGGGTGGCTGTTAAATATTGACAGTCGAACGTTGGGTCAACTGACACACACTCACTAGTCATGTAATACTCTATTGTTGTCATTATTGTTTAATATATGATGTATCTACAACATTTGTTTTGTTATTTCTTTAACCATTTACTTGGTCACAACATCTTATCCAATCCTCGTCAACAAGATGTTGTGACCAAGTAAATAGTTAAAGAAATAATAAAACAAGTGTTGCAGATATATCATATACGAAATAGTAAATAAAACAGAAGAGTATTACACGATTAGTGAGTGTGTGTCGGTTGATCCGGTGTTCAATCTATTCGACAGTTCCCACAAGGCCTTCTCTCCTACTAATCATATAGTTGGTGGAAGAGTCCAACATAGACTCTTTCGAGGGAGAACACCACAACATACACGTAACAATAGAAATTGCTTGTATCTACATTTCTGTATCACAATTGTAAATTTATTAGGGATTAAATAGCGGCGCAGATTTGGCACTTTAGTCGTCGTTGGAAACCTGCCTACTCTATGTCGCGCCAGAAAGTTTTTTTCTCACCCGAGTCCCTCCTTCAAATCTCTAAATCAACCATCCGTTCTTGCCTGGACTATTGCTGTCATATATGGTCTGGTGCCCCCGCTGTTCGTCTTAAGGCCCTCGACAAAATCTAGAGACGGATATGCAATGTGTTTGGGCCTGATCTAACATTGCGTTTACTGTCGCTCCCTCACAGGCTTGCAGTCGCCTCCCTCTGTCTTTTCTACAAATATTTTCACAGTAACTCCTTCATCTCTCGGTGGGCCTTTTATCCCTCGCGTGCGAGCGAGAGAGCTTTCCTCTGTGTCCGCTTTGCTTGTTTAGTTTAACAAAACTAAACAAGCAAAGCGGACACAGAGGAAAGCAATAACAATCTTTATTTTCTGGGTAAACGATACTACGACTAGTATGCCCGTATTTCTTGTATTGTTTGTCTCTTCATTAAAATACTTAAGGTAAACGTTTCCTGGGTTGGCATTATCCACTTGATAGTCAGGGATCTGAAACTTAGAGTAACTCCTAAGGAGACTATCCTAACACCAGGTGTATGATATCGAGGCTACTGGATTGTTGTTTTATGAATGGAATCTAGAACATGAATTAGTTTCCGGTTACGTCTCTCGGTGTCATGATGAAGGGTAGAGTTACGACTACAAACGATGGTAATTTATCCGGATCGTTTTTACACCTACTATACGCGGGTGTTGATGTTTTGCTACCTCGTCACTCTAACTTTCCAATATTTCGATATACTTAACCAATAGAAACAAACCCATTTGTACAGGGTCTTACGGCTATATCACGTTGAAACAACGGTTCACCTACGATCACCAAAACTAAGCAACGTCGAGCCTGGTCAGTCCCTGGATAGGTGACCGCTTAGGAATACCAGGTGCTTCAAGCTTGGATCCGAGTTCCAGTTGCCTTGGGTTCTTTATATTCACTTACGCGCAGTTACCCTTAAGAAAGGTATAATCCACCTCTTCGCATTCCGCCTCTGGGTTGCTTAGTAGATCTTGTATCATTATTATCTCTAAAAATCATTATTATGTCCAAAACGTTCTTACAATCTAAAATATATCCTGGCTTTAAATAACCTGCAATGGGTAGATAAGCAGTAAAAAAAAAATCAATCGATCAAATCAACCTAATTCGACAAGGACAAAAGTATATCCCAGATTCTCTATATCATACACCGGCAAAATAGTTTACGCCGTATATATATATATATATATATATATATATATATATATATATTAGGATACTACACCGAAAACATGTGAAAATCATACACAATTGCAGTCGTGTTTCGATGCGTATCAATGTATCTCATGAGGCGATTGTAAATTACTGGCGAGTCAACGATTTATTTAATTTTAAAAGCCAAATACAACCAATTTTTACGAAAAAAGTCAAAAAAAAATTATAACCCTCAATTTTTTTCTTTACACACACACACACACACACACACACACACACACACACACACACATATATATATATATATATATATATATATATATATATAAGTGGATATTGAAGTCAAAACCCAGTGATGACAATCATGCTTAAAAGCAATCGTCAGTCCATCATATTTACATATGTTCTATATTATGCACTTTAACCCATAAATGTAACATAAGATAAAATTATATTTTTATCATATACTCGCCGAATTACCCACGCCTTCTTGCATGTCACACGTTTTCTGTAAGAAAATGATGATTGATTTTAGATCATTGTTATAATTTGTGAAGAAAAATAATGCATTTCAATATTTTCCAAAAATTAAACTCTATGGCTATACAATAAGACGGGATTTTAGTCTCTTCTCTGAAAAATGGTTTCAGTTAACCTATTCCATTAGAGGAATTCATAGTGCCGGTTTACTCGCCTCTAATAAGAAAATAAGACCTTATCAATCGCAATGGCTATATCAAGAAAAAGTTCCCATGTGGAAAAGTCCAAATAACGAAAACTGATGTCCAGATAAACCGTTTTGCGTAACTCTAGTTCATAGTATCATTTATTTCTTGTCTATCGTCATTATTCTGATGGAATTGTGATATTTGACAAAATAGTTGAGAAGATTGTATATATAGATTATATATCCTCTTTCAGCTAGCGTTCACATGTGACAAACCAACTTTAATAAATATTGGAGTCAGTAATAAAAATCAGGAGGAGTTGATAATTCTACAACGAGGAAAGTATGCTTGGTATATTTAACATTCACAGATTACAGTGAACGCAGCAATGGCGGATGGAAACAGGAAGTAATCTATCTACTGAGTTTAGGTGAATGGATGACAGAGAAATCACAAAAATGCACAGTAAAATAGTTAAACGTTGCTTAGAACTACAAAGAATAAGAATCTGTGGGGGAGACATGAGAAAATGTGTCACGATCCAAATGTTGCGTTTCGTGTCCTTTCTTCAGATAATCCGTAGCCAGTCATTTCGGGCCAGCACAAAAAGAAAAAGAAAACTATTACATAAGCCTACATCTACTTTAAAGGATCAAAGGGGTAAAGGAGTAATAAAACTTTCACCTGCTTTAAAAAATCAAAGGGGTAAAGGAGTAATAAAACTTTCACCTGCTTTAAAAAATCAAAGGGGTAAAGGAGTAATAAAACTTTCACCTGCTTTAAAAAATCAAAGGGGTAAAGGAGTAATAAAACTTTCACCTGCTTTAAAAAATCAAAGGGGTAAAGGAGTAATAAAACTTTCACCTGCTTTAAAAAATCAAAACGGTAAAGGAGTAATAAAACCTTCACCTACTTAAAAAAATCAAAAGGTTAAAGGAGTAATAAAACCTTCACCTACTTTAAAAGATCAAAGGGGTAAAGGAGTAATAATATCTTCACCCACTTTAAAAAATCAAAACGGTAAAGGAGTAATAAAACTGCCACCTACTTTAAAAGATCAAAGGGGTAAAGGAGTAATAATACCTTCACCCACTTTAAAAGATCAAAAGGGTAAAGGAGTAATAATACCTTCACCTACATTAAAAGATCAAAAGGTTAAAATAATAATAAAACTTAAACGAGAAGGCCTGTTTGTTTCTTTCACACACTTTTATTTTTATTTTTCTCTGTCTTTCTTGTGAACCCTCTCCTCACTGACACATTATAACTGTTCTGTACTATAAACAAGAACCAGACGACATCTTTAGATATTGGATATGGAACGTGAACAGTCTACCTCCGTAGATTAAATAAAGTGTTCAGTTCAGAATTCCCTGTAGGTTACACAGATATACCTGAGAAAGGCCATATATATATATATATATATATATATATATATATATATATATATATATATATATATATATGCCGGGTGTAACAGCAACATTGTTTAAATCATGTAAGCATAATCATCCATCCCACAAAATGTTTAATATCTAAAAAGACATTAAACAAATTGAGTTTCTTTTTTCCAAGTTTTCAGATAAGACGTTTAGCCATCTTGACACCATCTTTCATAAGAATCACTGAAAAATCCTTAAAGTTATTCAGATAGAAAGAGAACAGCTTAAAATTGTTTTTTTGACAGAACCATTGTCTTTCCAACTGAGCAATGGTGAAGCGAAAAGGAGAATTAGGGCCTTCAGTAATGGTAGCGACATTCATATTCTGGCTTCCATCTATAAAGTCCATTCAAGAACCATCAAGAGAACAGTGAATAAGTTTTAAAAACAGGAAACAGTAGAGTGGAAAACTGGATCAGGAGATCACAACTGGAAGACTGATCATCATTTCAACTTAGAGCAAAAGAGATCAATTAGAAAAGGCTCAACTCAATTCAAGAGGCGTTTCAGCTGTGACAGTCTAATGAGCAATGAAAAAAGACTGGAAAATGAAATGTACGTAAAACTATGAGGTGCCTTGTTACTCTTGGACACAAAGTCAGAAGGTTAGAGAGTGCAAAATTTATCTTGAATAAGATGAAAAATGATCCTGGAATAATTTACATATATTTGAACTTGCAATCCTTCCTGAGTTTCCAATCCTTCGGTATTATTAATTAATGATGAATATGTCATTTTCGTTTATAATTGATATCAGCCCGATACTTCTATTAAGCGTGGAGAGTAATTATACATTCTTATTGGTCAACGTAGAGTCCAACTGTGTTTTAAAAAACCTCGCAGAATTCCAATATCTGTAATCGTTTTTTAAGATACAACGGTCCAAAGCTTAATCTAAAAATTGGGCAATTTTGCTGTTACACCCGGCATATATATATATATATATATATATATATATATATATATATATATATATATATATATTATATTAATTGATTTAAAATATGTTTTTTTCGCTACACAGTTCTACCCATGTTTCAAAAAATGGAAGCTAAATGTTCGAATTTAATTTTGTAATTAAATTAAAGATATTAGTTCCATTTCATCCTCAAGCGAATTTTGATGGAACTAATGTCTTTAATCTAATTGTAGCGAAAAAAAAAACATATTTTAAATCAATTAATTTATAATATTAATGCTCTGTGAATTTACATTGAGCACTATTTTGTAAAAATAAAAATATCTATAAGAACACCGGATTATATATGTTACTGTTCTTTCTTTATATATATATATATATATATATATATATATATATATATATATATATATATATATATATATATATTATGAAATGGACAAAGTCCGACAATTATTTTAAGACATTTTTATGTTTATACATTATTTTATATTTATTTTACTTAAATATTTGTCTCTATAAAAGAATGTATAAACATAAAAATGTCTTAATATATAAGAAACAAGAAAAACTTTCTTAGAAATTGCGTTGAAGAAAAAGTTATTCCTCAGTGCTCACACGAGCTCATCAAATCGTCGCACCATATATATCCTTATACCTATGAATTTTTGAAAAATTCAATACGGGAATTAGAAGAAGAAGAAGCTATTCTTTACCATAAGGCATATATGACGGGAAGTCACTTACAAAAACACGAACGGAATGAAATAAAAAGATCAGTCAGATATAATAATAATAAGAAAGTCCGTGTTTTACAGAACAAACTCAGCAAACTCATTAATAATAGCAAATGGTCCAAAATCGGCAGAAAAGACCTAATAACAAATTTATCCGAATTCCAACTATCGGATACACAGCTAGAAGCACTCAGCTTTGGTCAGAAATTTGCCACTGGATTACCGAAATATGATATCACGGATTACATAATCAAAAATCATCACCACAATGACTCCGATTTTACCAAAGGCTATATTCAGGGCCTAATCACAGCTACACACAAAATCACGAATGACACCGCACTTTCTCGAAGATATATCAACGCCTTGAAAGAATTAGCTAACAACAAAAAAAATAGATATATCTACTTCTGATAAGGGCGGGGGAATTGTAATTATGGATAAACACATTTACCAACAGAAGATGAGGGAGCTCATTAATGATGATAACATCTATGAAAAAGTAAATGAAAACATAGCTATAAAAGAAACACAAAAGTTTACAAGCAACATTAAAAAACTACTAAAAAATGAAGTCTTCTCCTGGTTAAAGCTTATTGAATACCATCCAAAAACACTCATATTATATGGATTACCAAAAACGCATAAACCGAACATACCAATGAGACCTATCATATCAGGGATAGGAAGCGCTCCACATAAAATAGCCCGCAAACAAAGCAGAATTTTAACTCCACTTCTCGGCACTATTAGTCCATCACACATAAAAAATTCAGGCGACCTCTTAAACACGCTAAAAACATAGACATTGAAAACAAATATATGACTAGTTTAGATATACAATCTCTTTATACAAACGTTCCCATAGATAAATGCTTAAATTTACTAAAAAAACAAATGCAAAAATCAAATTACCTATATCTACACACAAAAT